CTGTAGTATAATTTACGGTACAAATGTCTAAATTGAACGGACTAGGAAAGACTCACCGAGAGCGTATATTTGTTGTAAAACTGAATTTAAAACTTTGCTCGCTTTTTCACTTCGAACAAATTGTTTGGGAAAATTCAGATATTAAATGATTGAAGTTCCTTCGTTCAGTTTAACTACAACCAAATACCTCACGTTTTAACTTTCTAGGTACTTTTTGTGAACGATTAAAATTAATTGCAGACGGTTTTTAGGCCGCTAGTTAACCAACGTAAAGACACTATTGCTTAAACAATTTTTTTCTGAAACCAATATTTTTCTGTCAACCACAGTGATTTGAGAGAGAGAGAGAGAGAGAGAGGATTCACAAGTTATTTATCGGCTTGAGGTAGTGACCGACGTGTTTGCTTAAAAATACTGCCCAGCCGGAAAAACGAGATATATTTATGAAAAATAGCAACGAAATTTGAGATGTACTCGGCGACTCACGAAAGCGTTACCGTGGCCCGTGGGCAGAGATAGGAAAATACTGACTGTGTTGAGAACCAATCAGATTGCAGGATTTGTTACCGTGCCCTCTAAAAAAAAAATAAATAAAAAAATAGCGCGCACACGTGAAAATATTTATCTTTTGTAACACAATCTCATCCGGCTTTGCCAAACCTCAAGAACATATAGATGGGGAAATGACACGTTAAAACTAACCCTTAACATCACATCGCAAACGGAAGTCATTAAAGGATATCCTAATGACAGCTAAGCTTTCAGGTTAGAAGATTTAAAAGCGCAAGCGAATGGCAGGAGTCGCTCAAGCAATTAACACCTTTTAACAATCGACTACCTTTTACTTTCCGGCTTACCTGGTGTGTTGCCGCGCGCATTGTAGAGTTTTTCATTGGTCAAGTGATTCTGTTCATAGCTCAAATTCAAGTGTCCTTTATTCAATGATCAATATATAGATTTACCATACAACATTCGTGATAAGTTAATTTCCTTTTACTTAGGAAAGTAGATTTACAACAAAATTGAGTGTGTAATAGTAACGCTGTGTAAAGCAACAATAAGCCTTTTCTGGGCTATAATCGGTCTCAAACACCCGCACTTAAAATGCGAGAAACACATGTATCGTTGGAGAGCGTTTGAGAGCGTTTGGTCAAAGCTGTTAAAGAAGGATCAAAGCCGCCATCCAAATCTTTGAAAGGCTCCAAACTACGACGTACATCAAATTTGACCTTCTTGAAATCCGGTCTCAAATCACATACAAAAAAACAGTGATCGCGTTTGTCCTTGAGAACCATAGAATACGCGACAAATACGAATAAAAAATACTTTTACACATTCATAATAAATCAAATTACATTCACCTACGGTGAAAGAAAAAAGGAACGGCCTAACTTTTACGGAATTTCCAGTCAACATCTGCCGAATTCTGCTGCTTTCACCGCCATATTGAAAATGAAGCTACCACAATGCAACGCAATCGGAGTGCGAGCCTGGGTGCGAGTCAGCCGCGTTTGCAGATTGATTATTTTATCTATTATCGGATATCTCTTGTAGAGCTAATGTTTGTAACACTTTATTCTTATAAGATGCATAAATTTATAAATCGATCAGAAATTGTTCGAGAGGAAGTTGTGAAAGTGGTGACTTAATGTTTAAAAAATAGCGATTACCAGGAAGCTTTATTTTTTCATCATGATCATGTAAGGCAACACTTGCTCGTTTGGTCCGCATTTTAGCAGTTCATATAAACATTTTAGAACAAGTTACTGGTTTCTAACTGCCAGTATGAGTCATCCTAAAAAGTTCTTAACATGACCTAACTCAAAGACAAGCTGCTGATTGTCACCACTTTTCAAAAATTGTGATTAATGGTTACGAAATTGAATGCAAATAACTTACGCCGTTTTTTTGTGTGGAAAAAAAGGAGGTGAGACTGTATTTCAAATTCGAAAAGAAAACTTAGCAATCATCACGCCGTTAGTAACCTGTTTAATTTTTATCGAGTCAAAAGTATAATCGACAGATGCGCTGTCTTCTATTGACTTCCTTTTTTATAATATCAAAGTACACAGTACACATTATCTGATTGGTCAATTCCCTTCAAGGGCCATGCTATACAAATAAATACATATTAAGAAATGTACTTGTGTTGAAAAAAAAACACAATTTTTTATTACCTTGAAAATCCACTGTTAAAGGCTTTGAAAAAAATTATTTCTTCTTCTTCGACCATTGTTAAAATCGAAAATATGCAATTGAAACGGAACTGGTCGCGCCTTTGAAGTTTTAAATTGTTTCTTGGGTTGAAAGTGAAGGACTTTCTTCTAAACCACTGGTGAAGAAACCAAAAATTTGACTTTTCTTTGCCTCAAGGAACTTGTAACGATGAATCGAATCTGCATTTCTTTCAAACTTTACAGGGGAACGAAAACCACAAAGTGATTGTGGTCAACATAGCTTTATAATTTCAGAAATTCGTAGTTCGTGACAATTCCTTCTTCTTTCCGCGATTTAAGTGTAATTTGAAAAGTTCTTCTTGCCAAAACATTTAAACATTTTTTTGCGCTGTTGTGGTTGATTTCGATGACGTCTCATTGAAACAGCTCCAATTCAAGTTGCTTTGAACGAAACTAGTGAGGTAAAAGGGAAATAGTAATTAAATACAGCTCGGTTTGCGGCTCATAATTTGGCTGATTATCATCCATATTTGCAAGTTTTATTGCTACTGATCATTATCAGTACTAATATTTTTAATTAAATACTATCACTGTTATCATCATTATCATATTACGGTTATTTCGATCATTATAATTGTTTGGAGGTTATCATATGGTTCAATGGTAGTATTTACTAGTTAACATAATGAAAATTTAAAAGCTATTGAAAAAGCCTTTTCAAAATCTCTTTGTTTTCCTAAGGTTCTCGCCACTGGCATCATGGGACTTGCTGTAATCCACGTTCCAATCCCATCGTCCATTCTGGTAAGACACCGCCAAAACAAGGATTCACGTGACCGTATTTTAAATTCCTTATACGACGTACAAACGTTCCTATTTTTGATTAAAGAAGGCCTTAAAAAACAAAAACAAAAACAAAACAAAACAAAAAGCGAAAAGAAAAAAAAAACTATGCTGAGGGAGACGACTTGGAGGACAACTTGTAAATTTTAGGATAAAAATACACGATAATTAAAATCTTTAAAAAAATTCAAGTGACGGCCTGAAACTAAACTGATGCTGCAGTGAATCCTCTCATTAAGGTCCTAAGGCTCCTCGCCCGTTAGAATATACTTAAAGCTTATTTAATCTCTAACACCAACCCTTTTTAACTCAGATGGATGCCCTGTGGTCAGTAAGCGTGGCTTCCATTGTACTATCTACGATAGCAGTTTACAGCTATCATTGGGATCCTCTTATTCCCAGCCCATTAGAATATTCTTAAAGCTGCTTATTTAATCTCTAATACTACCTTTTTGTGACACAGATCGATGCGCTGTGGTCAGTAAGCGTGGCTTGCATCATACTATCTGCGATAGCAGTTTACAGCTATCATCGGGATCTGATCCTTGTCCTGATTCCCACCTACCCAAGGGACAATTATGGTTTCGTGAAAGAGGGAATAGCTACCTTCCTGAATGATGAGGAGAAGCTGATGGTTGCCGTATCTTCTCTCCTCGTGGTGTTTTTCATCTTGGAGATCATGCTTGCTGCCACACTTGTTAGAAGCACAACTCTTGCAAGCCTCCAGCCCCCATCAGAGCACGAGGTAGGCATTACGAGGGAATTTTAGGACCCCAATTTATTCTAAATTATTTTGAAAATCAATGTAAAAAACTTGTTCCAAAAACGAGAAATCCCAAACATTTTATGGCGGGCGCTGCGGGTGGGCGAAATAAAGCAAACCCTGAGTTCTGATTGGCTAAAGTATCCCGGAAAAAAAGAGTTTGTACATCCAGTTACTTCAAGGAAGCAGTCCGAAAAACGAGTCTGGTGACGAGTTACATGAGTTTACTTATATTTTCTTCTCACATTTGCAAACATGATAAATCCAATATGATCAACGTACCGTAATTATCCAATAAGGATAAGTACGTGTAAGCTATGGAGTCGCAAGACATGAAGGATTTAGTCCCTTTTTACTTCCTATTTATGAGCTACATGTAGAGCGATTTCGTAAAAAGGTAAATATTTATTCAAAACCTCTCTTGTACGTTGGAAATTGTTACAGAACCTAAGACTCGGTCAAAGACTGACGGTGCGTATGGAGACTGTCACCTTAAGATTTGTCATCAAATACCCAATTTATATCGCAAGAAACAACAAATTCATTCCTAAAAGGTAAATATTCCGCGACCTCCCAATCCAATTATGATTAAAATTCTCCTATTTTTTATATCGTCACTGATCTTTTTCAGCTGCATTGTATTCACCCACCAAGAGGAAGATCAAATACTATTCAGTCTGAGTGTGAGTGTTAGTCATCGCGCCCGTTTGTGTCTGTAACATGACACTAGAATGAAAGAAAACCTTTGTCAACATACATCTTTTGACAAATAATTGCAAACTTTAATTACAAAAATGACAATAGTAAAGATAGTATAAAACAATGCAAAAATTGAGTGTGCCTGCCGTTAATAAATAAAGCTTTAATTATCACTTGTTCATATGACTTTTAAATTTAAGCAATTACATCACTAATAAATATTACATTCTTGCATATTTTGCTGATTTAATCACATATAAGTATATAAATATTTCCTTAAAACCCCTAAAAAAATTAACATATGGATTCTCATATTCCGCTTAATCCTCTCTGTATCTATGTATTTTGGTTTTCTTGTTCCCTTTTCGAATGCAGCTTTCTGATTGGATTCATTATTGCCGCCCTTCGAGCCTATGAAGCACAAAAAAACCACCCGGTACGCAGGATACCAATACGAGGGGAGAGTCGTAATAAAATGAAAGTGTTTCGTCAAAATAACGTAATTACCCTCGATACCTTTAGGAACCATTGCTTTTTCTCAAATAACAGGGCACCCAGCATTAACACTTCTAAGGAAACTGAAATCCACGCGCTCCGAACGTATACGGGTATCTAAAGGCTAGTAATTTATCCCGTGAGTTGGGAAGTGCAACATTCACTTCCTGGAAATAGAACCTTTTGAAAGATACCACCCACGACATGGGAGAAGTTTCCAACGTATGATGGTATTTCAGAATGAGATTTTCCTTTGATGAAGGAGGGTAATATTTGCGTAGCATTGTTTCAGTTTTGCCAGAAATGTAACTTGAGACGTTCACTGGTTGCCATCTCATAAAATCCACAGTCACATCCCCTAATGCAACAACCAAACCATTGGCTTGCATTCCAAGCTCACGCAGTTTACGGAAAGCTTCCGGCTTCTCGGTTTCCAAAATATAAGAAATGTCGGCATCGTGATCATATGGCAAGATGTCTCCCATGCGATAGGCGCCAAGCAGGGTTCCTGAATACAAAAGAATCGAACTTTGTAAGTGAAGTAAATAAGAGAAAGAGATTCGATTAATTAATGAAAAAATAATTGAGTCAATAACCAAAAAAAAAAACAGCAACAGCAAGAGATCGACGAATAGACAGAATGACCTTGCAAATATGAACCCTTTAACTCTGATAAGTGACCGTGACAGAACTTCTCCTTACAACATCAATACAAAACCAAGGAGACAGGTGGTGAGTATATAGAAAACTATCAGTTTGGGGATTATTAGTTGATCCAATCCCAAATTCTCTCAACTAACATGATAAGAATTGTATGGCAGACGGTAAGAGGAATTACGGATGGCATCTTTAGAGTCGAAGAGTAAGAATACACGGCACTAATAAAACAATAGCGTTTATGTTTCGGATTAAGATATGTTTTGGGCCCGACTCAGAGTCATTTTAGCCCGAGTCGTAAGGCGAGGATTTAGTTGACTCTTAGAGAGACCCAGAAATTAAATTTAGCTCAAGAACATTAACTATATTACTATTATTATCACATGAGAGGGGGTTGAAAAAAATAAGAACTAAGAAAGAATGACAAAATAGTCTGACAACCACGCGAGCATGCGAGCGGGCCCAAGTACATTTTAGCACAAAAATATCCATTTTAGCCCGATAAATGCGCCAAGTGATAACAAAATCTAGTTTGAAAAAAAATACATATAAATTTCGTTTCGATAGAAATAAAGCCATGAGACGTTTAACAGGTATCTCAATACGAGTTCGTAGATTCTTAACACAATTCTTTGAAACGATGGTTTCTTTTAAACTTTGGCATTGGTTTCTTTGCGCGCGGCGACGTTACAATTATAATTAAACTTGGAAATGAATGCCAAACTCACCATAATCGAGCCAATACTGAACACCGTACTTGTCAAACACCCGTGAAATGTTCTTCACCATCATCCTTAACGTTTGACGTCTCTCCAGTGGCAAGTAACATTCCTCGTTATATCCCTCGCTCACGGATAATACTAATAACTGATGATATTATTATGTTCGCCAGCATTCTTCTTCTTCTTCTTGACGAAAAATCACAACGAAACATTGTAAACAACTTAGCCTCCTCAAAATCAGTAAAAGCCGTCTTTCAGCGGAGGATGTCATGCAAATCTAAAGAGAGCATGGAAAGGTGTGTGAGCAGTCCATGCAAATGAACTGGAAGACAATTGTTTGGTTACAAATCAAAACGTGGAATAGAAACAAAAAAGATACAAAATGAAATTGAAATCAAGTTTCGATGACTCTAATTTAGAGTCATGCTCTGATATCACTGAACCTGTCATTGTATTGATTATATGTCGAAAACAACGTGCACTTTCCAAAATTAATATGAACTAAAAAGTTACCCCATAGAAAGTAAAATTTTGCCGCGTTGAATTATCTTGAGCTTCCAAATAAAAACAGCGAAGAGAATTTAATTGCTCTTCACATGGATCGTGACATTTCTCAGTGTGTAATTAAGAGTAAGAAATATTCATGAAGAAACAAATATTTGTTAAGCTCCTATTTAACAATCATGTTATACAAAAGAAACAAGACAACTCTTTTGCAGTCCAACCTGTATTAAGCAGCACCATGTTAAGCTTTCACCCTGTATTAAGCGGTCGGTTTTCAAAGGACGAAATTGTTACCCCTTGGTGACTGTAATTTTCACCTCTATTAAGCGGTCGCAGTCACCCGTTACAAAGTCCCAAAGGTCTTTTTGTATCGTTCTCCACCTGTATTGCGCGGTCGCTTAAATCGGAACCAATTAATTAAGACTTAAATAATCTTTCATGTAAGACTTAATTCATTTTTATCTACCGAAATCATGTTAGTGGTATTTTGGAGCTACTATCAACTAGTTCCCTTTAACTCAGATGATAGGATAGGATTCGACCGCAAAAATGGAAGGTATGTGATTCCTTTTTAATAGTATGATTTGTGAATACACTGTAGATATGTGGGCACCAGGATAATGGCCGCAGCCATGGATCCCAAACCGGACAAATTGCAAGATAATATCAAAAAGGATTTCGCTGGTGACTCGATGAATTTACCCCATCTAACGGCACCAGAGTCTTATCCACTTCACCCTTACAAAGAAAGGCAGCATTAAATTATTCTTGAAAACCAGAGTAATTCGACGTTCGGGTTTTTTGTAATGGTAATACAAAGTAGTTTGATCTCAAGTTGCCGTTTTGCAGAATTATGTCGCCCAAAAAAGCATGTGTAGGTTCCGTTTTGCGCTATTTTGTTTGTCATCAGAATTAATTGAAATAAATCATGGTTTGGCCTGCAGATTGTGTAGAGTAAACTAATGACCCTCGGGGGCGAGCTATAATTACAGAAACTGCTGGTAAGAAGTCTCCAAAATTTAGCTTCGAATACTAATTAGACGGCATCGCCACTTGAGCTACTGAGCCACATGTCGCGAGTAGGGGAAGGAATAAATTATGTGATAAAGTTTGATTTGTTTGACCTATTCATTTCATCATTAAGCCCACAAGGGTTTTCAGAGGAAGGATGCCATGTAGTTACATCGAAAAGCAACTCAGAGGAAACATTTTGCAGCTGCAGACATTTATCTCATTTTACTGTCTTAGTCGACTACAGCGGCTACAGCCCATTGGTGATTGTTATTGTTATTGCCTTTTCTATCTTTCTTCCAACATTAGCGATAAGTCCATTGGTTTAATTAACATATAACTACTTTCTATAGCTCACCAAGATGGACGACTTTGTTTTGGAGATCATCACTTACGTAGGATTGAGCCTTTCCATCACTGGAAATCTTATGACAATAGTTGCGTATTCCCTCTTCACGTAAGTAAGGGATGCATGATGAGATGCGTCCATTACGAACAATTCATCTTAAAGATGTTGGACATTGAAAAAAAAAAAAAAATAATTAGAAAAATTACACCCAGCCTTTAAAGCGAATGCGATTCAAATGTTCCATAGTTAGGCTGTTTTGTCCCATTTGCTCTTAACCTAAGAAATTTAACAAGTGAATGCTTTAATGATAATGGGAATTTATCAACTTAATGGTATTTACCGTATGGTGACAAGAACAAAATGAATAATTCGTTTTCCAAAGTTCTAAGTGTGCTTTTAACCCTTTTTTTGCCTTTCGGAGAAATTGAATATTATTTTCCAGAGAGAAAGATGGTAAATTCTGACTACACTCAGACGAGATATTCAATGTGAAAGTTTATTTAGGAGAAGACTCTTGTTCACGTATTTATGACTTCACATTTGGACTACTGTAACTCTCTTCTCTTTTGCGTCCCTAAGTACTAGACAGATCGTCTTCGTCTTCAGAAGGTGCTTAACGCCGCTGCTCGATTAATCTTTAGGATCCCAAAGTTTGATTACATTTCGTCCGCCTTATCTCATCTTCATTGGCTTCCTGTGACTTATCGCGTTATTTTAAGTTGTTACTCTAAGTTTATAAATCTCTTGACAATCAAGACCCACAATACATTCAAGAATATCTGCAGCCAAACTCCATTTGTGGTCATCACCTACGTTTCTGTGACCAGGGCCTTCTTAAGATCCCAAGAACTAATTTTAAGACCTTTGGTGATCGCGCTTTTGCCCGTTCCAGGCCACCTCTGTGGAACAAACTGCCGCTTGAAATTCGAGACAGTCAGAGTGTAGCCATTTTTAAGTCCAAGCTAAAGACACATCTGTTCAAGCTGGCTTACAATTTGTTTTAACATTATTAATGTTTTTAACATTTTGATATTTTTAATATTTTTCATATTCTATCGTTTAATCGTTTTAATGTTTTTACGGAATATTTTGTAAAGCGCTTTAGAATACTTTTACAATTTTAGCGCTTTAGAAATGTAAATTATTATTGTTATTGTAATTAGACGCAAATGGAATTTTTTAATATTCCAGCGGCTGATAGGGAATTTTTTGCAATGAGGAAGATTTGTTTTTGAAGAGGAGGGTGACAAATGCACGCAAAAAGACTATAAGAGAGACTTAAAATAAGATGATGCAATTAAAATGATCGTGAACCTGTGGAAATAGTTGTCAAGAACCCATGCAGTTTGTACTATGTAACATGCTTGTTAAGGTTAAGCACGGCACCTTATACCATACCGTCTTGAGTGAGTATTCCTAATAACAACAAGAGCTAAATAGCAACTATTACAATGTTTATTTTTTTGATAGGGTACGCCTATTAAGATGACTTATCATTCCCTGAAAATTCACCTTTTCACGCGCAGGTTAAGTTCGTCAAAGAAAACCAGGAAAAAACTGGATCGGGTTGGGTCCACTCTGTGGCAGCCGGTCGATAGATTTTCAAAAAGAAAAAAATTTGCACCTAGAGTTATAATAATAGAATAAAACTATGACATGCAATTCAAAGTATAGGAAGAACATCTGTGTTACATTGGTTCGAGTTTTCGTAAGTATTCTCTGAGGAAGATATCCAAGACAGAAGAATAACGAAGGTTCTTTGTCTTTTAGAGAAGGGATGTGTTTTGGTTTCAGTGATAGAGTTTTCGTCAAAGGACTACGAGAGAGCCACAAAAACTTCCTGAGTAACTCAGGAAAAAATATTTGCATTTACCTTTGATCGTGTTTCCCACGCATGACGCGTGAGGCAAATGAAATATAACGTCAAAAACAACTGTGAATGCGACTGCTGAATTTTCATGATATCTTTGTTGAGTAAGTTACATAAAAAATTAGCCAGGTTGTATAGACGTAATATAAGAAAAAATGCTGGAAGCTTTTCGCCATATGAACGCTCTTTATAAATTTGGTTGGCACTGAATCGCTTCGCATAATTATTCATATGCGAGTGACAGAAATTAGCCAATGGGTCATATAAGTACATGGATTCATCACAGCTGCATGCAGTCTTATTTCGTAGCCTAATTTTGCATAAAGAACACAAACTATTATGATCGTAAGTCCAAGCCTTTCTAATTAAAACGTTTTCGAAGCAAAGTTCAAAGGGATAAAAATGTTCGGGAAGAAACGAATGAAGGTCCTTTCAATTTCCCAGTTGGCGATGGCGGCCATCTTCCTCACGATTGGTATGGTGGATCGATATAAAGTAGGATACAAAACCAGCCTAACGTATATGCCATGTTGGATATCTAGCTTGGTGAGAAAACTGATACCTTTTGAAATTAAAATTTGAGAAATATGCAGTATGTTTATAGGAGGAATAGGACTTTTGCTGCTGTGTATTACCCCATGGAGTAAAGAGAGTCAGCCGGGTTTGCAGATTGACTATGTTATCGATTATCGGATATCTCCTGTAGAGCTAATGATTATAACAATTTTATTCTTACAAGATGCAAAACTTTATGATAAATAGATCAGAAATTATTTGAGAGGAAGTTATGAAAGTGGTGACTTAATGTTTAAAAATAGCGATTAACAGAACACTTTATTTTTTTCATCATGATCATGTAAGGCAAAACTCGTCTGCTCGTTTGGTCCGCATTTCAGCAGTTCATATAAAAATTTCAGAACAATTTACTGGTTTCTAACCGCCAGTATGAGTCATGCTAAAACGTTCTCAACATAGCCTAACTCAAAGATAAGCTGCTCATCGTAACCACTTTTCAAAAATTATCATTGATGGTTAGGAAATTTTTTAGTGTGGAAAAAAGGGAGGCGAAAATGTATTTCAAATCGAAAAAGAAAACTTAACAATCATCATGCCGTTAGTAACCTGTTTAATTTTTATCGAGTCAAAAGTATAATCGACAGATGCGCTGTCTTCTATTTACTTCCTTTTTTATAATTTAAAAGTACATAGTACGCATTATCTGATTGGTCAACTCCCTTCAAGGGCCATGCTATGTCAGGCCATGAGATCCCGGAAAGATGACTGGGTCAATAATTATCGACAAATACATGCATATTGAGAAATATACTTAATATCCCCTGTTAAAAAATTATTTTTTTTTCTTCGACCATTGCTAAAATCTTAAACATGCATTTAAAACGGAACTGGTTGCGCCTGTGAAGTTTTAGATTGTTTCTTGCGTTTAAAGTGAAGGTCTTTTTTCTAAAGCGCTGGTGAAGAAACCAAAAATTTTACTTTTTCTTTGCCTGAAGGAACTTGTAACGATGAATTGAATCTGCATTTCCTTCAAACTTTACAAGGGAACGAAAAACACAAAATGATTGTGATCAACATAGATTTATAATTTTAGAAACTCGCAGTTCGTGACAATTCCTTCTACTTTCCGCGATTTAAGTGTGTTTTTGAAAGTTCTTCTTGCCAAGTTTAAACATTTTTTTGCGCTGTTATGCTTGATTTCGACAACGTCTCATTGAAAGTTCTAATTCAAGCTGCGTTAGACGAAACTATTCAGGTAAAAAGGAAATAGTAAATAAATACGGCTCGGGTTGCGGCGCACAGTTTGGCTGATTACCATCCATATTTGCAGGTTTTATTGCTACTGATCATTGTCAGTACTAATATTTTAAATTAAATATCATCACTGTTATCATCATTATCTTATTGCAGTTATTGTCATCATCATTATTATTTTCATAATTGTAGGCAGGTTATCATGTGGTTTAGTGGTAGTATTTTTTAGTTGACATAACGAAAATTTAAAATCTATGTAAAAAATCTTTTATTTTCCTAAGGTTCTCGCGACTGGCACCATGGGACTTGCTGTAATCCGCGCTCCAATCCCATCGTCCATTCTGGTAGGACACTACCAAAACAAGGATTCACGTGACCGTATTTTTTCAATTCCTTATGCGACGTACAAACGTTCCTATTTTTGATTAAAGGAGGTCTTAAAAAACAAACAAATAAACAAACAGCGAAAATAAAATTGAGGGAGACGACTTGGAGCACAACTTGTAAAATTTTAGGATGAAAATACACGGTAATTAAAATCCTTAAAAAGTTGAAGAGACGGCCTGAAATTAAACTGAAGCTGCAATGAATCCTCGCATTAAGGTCCTAGGGCTCCTCGCCCGTTAGAATCTACGTAAAGCTTATTTAATCTCTAACACCAACCCTTTTTTACTCAAATGGGTACCCTGTGGTCAGTAAGTGAGGCTCGCATCGTACTATCTACGATGGCAGTTTACAGCTATCATTGGGATCCTTTCATTCCTAGTCCATTAGAATCTTCTTAAAGCTGCTTATTTAATCTCTAATACTACCTTTTTGTGACACAGATCGATGCGCTGTGGTCAGTTAGCGTGGCTTGCATCGTACTATCTGCGATAGCAGTTTACAGCTATCATCGGGGTCTGATCCATTGCCTGATTAACACCTACCGATGGGAAAGTTATGATTTCGTGGTAGAGGGGACAACTACCTTCCTGACTGATAAGGAGAAGCTGATGGTTGCCATATCATCTCTCCTCGTGGCGTTTTTCATCTTGGAGATCATGCTCGCTGCTACACTTGTTAGAAGCACAACCCTTGCAAGCCTCCAGCCCTCATCAGAGCACGAGGTAAGCATTACAAGGAGTTTTTTAGGACCGCAAACTATTCTAAATTATTTTGAAAATCATCGTGAAAAAACTTCTTTCAAAAAAGAAAAATCCCAAACGTTTTAAGGCGGGTGCTGCGAGTGTCGAAATAAAGCAAACCCTGAGTTCTGATTGGCTAACGTATCCCGGAAAAAAAATTTGTACATTCGGTTACTTCAAGGAAGCAGTCCGAAAAACGAATCTGGTGACGAGTTACATGAGTTTACTTGTATTTTTCTTCTCACATTTGCAAACATGATAAATCCAATATGATCAACCGTAATTATTCAATAAGGATAGGTACGGGTAAGCTATGGAGACGCAAGATATGAAGGATTTAGACCCTTTTTACTCCCTGTTTATAAGCTACACGTAGAGCGATTTCGTAAAAAGGTAAATATTTATTCAAAACCTCTCTTGCATGTTGGAAATTGTTACAGAACCCAAGACTCGGCCAATTTTGACACATACCCATTTAAGACTGACGGTGCGTATGGAGAGTGTCACCCTATGATTTAGCATCAAATTCCCAATTTATATCCCAAGAAACAACAAACTCATTCCTAAAAGGTAAATATTCCGCGACCTCCCAATCCAATTACGATTGAAATTCTCCTATTTTTATATTGTGACTGATCTTTTTCAGCTGCATTGTATTCACCCACCAAGAGGAAGATCCAATACTATTCAGACTGAGTGTGAGTCTTAGTCATCGCGCCCGTTTGTAACATGACACTAGAATGAAAGAAAACCTTTGTCAACATACATCTTTTGACAAATAATAGCAAACTTTAATTACAAAATTGACAATAGTAAAGATAGTTTAAAACAATGCAAAAATTTAGTGTGCCTGCTGTTAATAAATAAAACTTTAATTATTATTTGCTCAGACGACTTTTAAATTTAAGCAATTACATCATTAATAAATATTACATTCTTAAATATTTTGCTGATTTAATCACATAAAAGTATATAAATATTTCCTTAAAACCCCTAAAAAAATTAACATATGGATTCTCATATTCCACTTGATCCTCTCTGCATCTTCTTACTTTGGTTTTCTTCCTGCAGCCCTCTGATTGGATTCATTATTGCCGCCCCTTGAGCCTGCGTTAGCAGCGGTTTTGTGTGCGCTATGAAGCAAAAAAACCATCCGCTACGCAGGCTACTAATACGTGGGGAGAGTCGTAGTGAAATTCAAATGTTTCGCCAAAATAAACAACGTAATTACCTTCCCAACGCTCAGGACAGTGCGCTCTAACCTTGTGGACAACTGCATTCCGGATAGTGCTTCACTTTTCTTGCGTATGCCGACGGATGCATTTACGCATTTAGGCGTTATTGCGTTGTCGTATTTATCAAGCGTATGAATAAAAGGTGTATGTTTCCTAAGAAATTGTGGTGTTGCGTCGGTGTGAGAGTATAACAGGGTAATTTGGTATTATTAACTGAGTTGATAACGTTAATTAGTCACCGTAAAGTGTTTAAAACCTGACGTTTCGAGCGTTAGCCCTTCGTCAGAGCGATGGACAATTTAACTAGCGTAGTAGCACAGTGCACATTTTCGGTTTTAATTCATTCGATACCTTTAGCAGCCATTGCTTTTTCTCAAATAACAGGGCACCCAGCATTTCCACTTATAAGGAAACGGTAATCCAAGCGTTCCGAACGTATACGGGTATCTAAAGGCTAGTAATTTATCCGGTGAGTTGGGAAGTGCGACGTTCACTTCCTGGAAATAGAACTTTTTGAATGGTACCACCCACGACATGGGAGAAGTTTCCAACGTATGATGGTATTTCAGAATGAGATTGTCCTTTGATGAAGGAGGATAATATTTGCGTAGCATTGTTTCAGTTTTGCCAGAAATGTAACTTGATACGTTCACTGGTTGCCATCTCATAAAATCCACAGTCACATCCCCTAATACTGCAACCAAACCATTGGCTTGCATTCCAAGCTCACGCAGTTCACGGAAAGCTTCCGGCTTCTCGGTTTCCAAAATATAAGAAATGTCGGCATCGTGATCATATGGCAAGATGTCTCCCATGCGATAGGCGCCAAGCAGGGTTCCTGAATACAAAAGAATCGAACTTTATAAGTGAAGTAAATAAGAGAAAGAGATTCGATTAATTAATGAAAAAATGATTGAGTCAATAACCGAAAAAACAAAAACAATTACAACAAGAGATCGACGAATAGACGGAATGACCTTGCAAATATGGACCCTTTAACTCTGATAAGTGACCGTGACAGAACTTCTCCTTACAACATCAGTACAAAACCAAGCAGACTGGTAGTGAGTATAAAAAAAAATATCAGTTTGGGGATTAGTTGATCCAATCACATATTCTCCCAACTAACATCATAAGAGTTGTATGGCAAACGGTAAGAGGAATTACGAATGACACATTGGGAGTCGAAGGGTTAAGAATACACGGCACCAATAAAACAAAAACGAGTTTATGTTCTCTGGTTAACATATGTTTTGGACCCGTCTCAGAGTCATTTTAGCCCGATTCGAGTAGTATAGGGGGTCTGTAGGACTGGCATGAAAGTGAGGCTCTAAGAAAAAAGTGGTCACGCAAGCTACCAATGTCACACGCCAGGAGAGGACAGCATGCGACAGGAAAAAATGTTTTCCTTCACGCGTTTGTGTGGTAAGTAACTCATGGCGGCGGGAGATATTATCAGCATGCTTTTTTCTATAAATAAAATGGTGATGGAACGTCTTCGATTTTGGCGGAAAGAGTTATCAATTCATCTATTATTCGTTTGACGGGAAAACACGTTATACGTCTGAAGTGCCTAACCATCACTCAAAATGTCTGATGGGTTCTTCCAAGACGTTTCAATTCTGTCATTGTCGTTACACCGCTGAATCTGTCTTGTCAATGATGTGTTGTCCAAAATGTAAATATGCAGCTGTATCTGTTTACACACGAGTTTCGCTTTATTGAGATAGGAAAAAGATACGTTCGTGTGGGCATGATTTTGAAGAGGTCATGCGTATAACAATTGGAAGAGGAAAAGGAAAGATGTGACAGATTTGATCGGTCAAATAGAAGCGTTGATGCTGGTCAAATATTCGCCTCGATGGTATAATATTGTGGAAAGAAACAGGAGACACACATTGGACAACTAGTTGTGTATGTGTCAAGACATGGCGGGACCTTCTTGTATGAAAAAAATTCGTCGCTTGAAAGAAAGATCCGTTTGCAAGCTTCGGAGCATGCTCAAGACATTGAAAAATACAAAGCTAAGATTGACGAGATAAAGTTACGCGAGAGACATCGTGAACTTGTATTTTATGCGGCTTTAAATCATATTCACGAGCCGTTAGGGATGAGAAATGGTTGGGTCTGTGGCGATACTTGGGATAAAGAAATCGCGGCTGGTTTGGATTCTACATGATAAAGTAGCTTTACTGAAAGCAGGATGTCAGAAATTTGTCCAAGAATTCAAGGACATTTCCCAGTTTGACCCTGACGAAAAATGTATTACGATTGCCTCAGCTTGTAACCGGTATTGGCGAAAATGTCATCTCTCACCTGAGACCGTAGCCGTAGAACCTCCTCGTGGTTGGAAAGGCGCCAGAGTCAACCAATCAAGAGTAGCCTTAGAATGGTTATTGTGGTGTGAACATCAGTTGCCCTCATCGTCTTGTGATATACCTCGTATTCAGCACGTACGTAATGGTGGAGAACAACGGGTTTCAGAACACACACCTGACATCCTGCTTTCAGTAAAGCTACATCCGACTTGCAGTAAGCAATCAATTCTTTTTTCAAATTAAAGTTCACTTCTTCTTGAAGTTGGGTGGCGTACCAGGTTTCAAATTCTTGTCTTTTCTTGGCTGACATGCCTTCTGGATCATAGTACGCTATGTCTAGGATAGGTCCTACATACTCTTGATGGTCTTGCATATTGAAAAGATGAGGAAAGAACCCCTTTTTTCCATTCAGAAATACCAAAGGTGGTAGAAAAAGAAGAGAGCCACAGGTAAGAAACAAAGCGAACCTTTAAAAAAAATAGGCCCCACACAAAACGGAAGGGCTTTGGTACCGGTTTTCACCATGTCTTCCATACGTCTTCCTTCTTTTTGCAGTTGATGTTGTAAAAACACCGAACCGTACCCTTTCAGGTCATGAAAGATACATATGACATCTCGATCTTCACCATACTCATTCACCGTCAATTCGGTGAGAAAGGCTAAGAAATCTGCCGTACAATCTGACCTATAGAAAGAACGAATAGTATCGGAGAGAGTCGTGGCAGCACACACGAGAATAGGTAGATGTATTTTGCGCCAAATCGTATTTACCCTAATTGACAGATTTTATCTTACATGTCAACCCCAATAGACATCTGTCACATCATGGGGATGGGGAAAGGGGAGGGGGGTATGGGTATATAATTCATGACGTCACTCTATATTATAAAATGAAGTAAGACTGCGAACTCGTCCTCATTGATTATCATAGTATTACCAAGTGAACAAGAAGACAAGAGAGAGCAATACTGTCACGCTGTCACGCTATAGAGTAAGTCTGTATTTGATCTGTGTCTGTGTCTGTGACCTTGATAACAATTTGTCTTTTTTTAAAGATGCCTCCTGTACGACGATCAAGACGTTTACTCAACAAGAGGTGGAAGTGGATGATACGCCCTACGCCTGTTTTTTATGCCTCGTCATGATCGATGTGACGATGCGTGGTGCAAAACCGACTTTATGTTGTAGTCGACGAATTCACCGTACCTGTCGTCAACATCATGTGAACTCGCACGATTGTTATGGAAATTGTCGAACCCCTTTTGCTGCTACCAATCCTGTCCGTGTACCTGATAGAGAACAACAGCGTCAACAAGCCCTTAGAGATTTGGAAGCCTTATTGGAACCAGGCGCTATTGAAGACCGAATTACTCAAGTAGGTGGATTAGGTGTTTCTTCTGATCTTTAAGTATCATTCGCTCAAGTGTCACCTGGAATGTATGAATATCACCTCACTCTAAGAATGAAAATTTTTTATTTTTTGAGGATGAAGATATTGATGAAATGGTTTGGTGTCCTATTTGCAGTTGTGGGTGGCTGGTTTCTTAGTTGATTGAAGAAAAGGTCGATTATTGTTGTGAACGTGTGACTCCATTAAATCTGCCTATTTACTTCTGACTCTGATCGTAATTTTTTTATTTTTAACTTTCAGTACATGCAAAATTTTCCCGATTCCATGCCATATATGATGCTACGTATTTATACTTTTGAACCTCACTTCAATTTACCTACAAAACGGTATTCGCTAATAACTTCCATGAAACATATATTATTACAAAATGATATTGAAGAAATGCATCAATTGTGTTATTATAGCATCTTTTGTAAATATAGTTTAGAGGCTATTTCATATTTATTTTTTCCACTTTCCATGTTTAATTTTTTTCGTTTCGAATTTTAGATGATTATAATGACTATCTAAGACTAAGACCCACTTTTTTTATTCATCTTTAGATGCCTGATCTCTTAGAAGCCACCTATTTTATACTAGAACATGATTTCATGTATAATTACATGCTACAATTAATCGATGATGTGCGAACCGCCATGACATATCGCAACATTTCACATGAAGATCTCATTCTCGTTGAAATTTATAAACATTTTGAATTTGATGGATATTTTAATGCCTGGTTTGAACACAGTTAACCTGAGAATACACGATCATTATTTCGTAGCAGACAATTTCCTTTTGCTTCATTTTTAAGACACTTTTTTTAATGCTTCTCTATTTTTTCCTTTCGTAAGATTCAAATTACAACATCCTGTTATTTCTAGTCGAGAAACACTTCGGTATACCAATAGCATTTATCATATTCGTCACTTTTTCTTACAGGCGGCTTAATTTTTTATGAGATCAGATCCTACACGCCTGAAAATGATTTACGAGATGTGTTGTTATGCACTGAATCATCGATTTGTCAAGAATGCCATTCAAAGTCTCATCTACGCTAAAAAGTTACACTTACATCAAAATGTTTTTTTTATTATTAGTACATGTCAAATTTTGTGATGAGTTTCAAAACAATTTTTAGAAACCTGTGATACAAATCCTGAAACCGCCTTTCGTGATTTAGGTTTTGTTCATCTAGTATCACCTACCATCAATGAGTTTCTTGGATTATATTCACAATATCATCGAGGAATGCGATGTTATTCGCATGTAAACTTTTTTATGGAAGTACGGTTATTTGCACTCGATAGATATTATCTTCATCAATATAAATCATTTTTTCTTTTAGATCAGTACTAGAGAACGTCATGCTATTCACGAATATTATTTTGTATTTTATTGAAGATAAGAAGGAGAGGCATGAATCTAGCCTTTCAATTTAATAAGGTACAGTTTTATATCAAAGTGAATCGTGTCTATGCTTTAAACGAATTGTTTCACTGTTTTTTTCATGATGATGTAAGATTATCTTTAGGATATAACACGATATTAGAATTCATTTTACATGTAACTGATGTAGTAACCATTTGTACTTTGACTTTTTTAGATGAATATAAACCACTTTACCACCCTGAGGAAATTGGAGATCTTTACGCATTATTCCGTTTGATTGTAACTGAATTAAGAACAGAAGGACTCAATCTAGCTTTTCAATTTGAAAATATCGATTTTCTAAGAAATGTACTTCGTGTGTATGATTCGTATACATGGTTTCGTTGCTTTCATGAAGGTAGACAGACGCACCGAGTATTATTGGCTAACTACCACTTTTTTACTTGTAGGCAAAACAGTAACGATCTTCACTTTTTAATTTTTCTAGATCGAACATTTCCAGTATGAACCCGATGAAGTGAAAAATATTTACACATCATTTGATTTGATTTTACGTTATTTACCATCAGAAGACATGAACTAAGTGATTCAATTTGATGATGAAATGTTTTATATGTTAGTAGATAGTGTCTATACTTTGAGCGAACACTTTCACTGTTTAACCTTTTCAAATGATGAAGAAATACAGATAATGGAATATCGTGGATCAGACACAAAATTTTTTACCTGCGTGTGGTACCATAAGAATTTACATGAGTGATTAATTTTTATTTTTCAGATTGAATTTCCCCTAGAAGATTTTAGTCAATCCTTTTATGCGTTACATGCATTTTTAATGAGTGAACATGAAGACCTCTATTTACTGTTTATCAATGTCAACTTTTCACTTATATCAATGCTTATAAGATTAATCTTTCTATAATTCATTATGGATTTACTAATTATGAAAACCCGCCCGTGATTGAAAATGCAGATTGGTTAATCACATTTAATAATAGACATATACATCATTCCATCATTCATTTTATTCGACACATATAGAACTTTTTTCAATTGTATACAACTACAAAAAAGTATAATAAATCATGTTTTGAAAAATCTTAATAGTCTTTATCATGATATTTAGAATCCAAACCAGCCGCGATTTCTTTATCCCAAGTAGCGCCATCGACCCATCCATGTCTCATCCCTGTCGGTTCGTGAACATGATGTAAAGCCGCTTAAAACACAAGTTCACGATGTCTCTCACGTAACTTCATCCCGTCAATCATAGCTTTGTATTTTTCAATGTCTTGAGCATACTCCGAAGCTTGCAAACGGATCTTTCTTTTCAAGCGACGAATTTTTTTCACACAAAAGGATCCCACCATGTCTTGACACATACACAACTAGTTGTCCAATGTGTGTCTCCTGTTTCTTTCCACAATATTATACCATCGAGGCGGATATTTGATTTGACCGATCAAATCTGTCACATCTTTCCTCGGATTCCTCAAATTGTCATAGGCATGCATGGCCTCTTCAAAATCATGCCCACACGCACGTATCTTTTTTCCTATCTCAATAAAGTGAAACTCGTGTGTAAATAGACACGGCTGTATGTTTACATTTTGGACACCACATCACTGACAAGACAGATTCAGCGGTGTAAGGGCAATGACTAAATTGAAACGTCTTGGAAGGACCCATTAAAAATTTTGAGTGATGGTGAGGCACTTCAGACGTATAACGTGTTTTCTCGTCAAACGAATAATAAATGAATTGATAACTCGGCGGAGAAAGAGACGATTCTTTGCGCCAATTTCGAAGACGATCCATCATAAAATGATAGACATCTAATCGTACTATTTTGTTTATAGAAAAAAAGCATGCTGATAATATCTCCCGTCGACATGAGTTACTTACCACACAAACGCGTGCAGGAAAACATTTTTTCCTGTCGCATGCTGTCCTCTCCTGGCGCGTGACATTGGTAGTTTGCGTGACCACTTTTTTCTTAGAGCTTCACTTTCATGCCAGTCCTACAGACCCCCTATACTAGTTATAATACTGATTCGTAAGGCAAGGATTAACTTGACTCTTAGAGAGACCCAAAAATTAAATTTAGCTCAGGAACATCAACTATATTACTATTATTATCACATGAGAGGGCATTGAGAAAAATAAAAACTAAAAAAGAATGACAAATTAGTCTGAACAACCACGCGAGCATGCGAGCGGGCCTAAGTACATTTTAGCACAAAAATATCCATTGTAGCCCGCAAAATGCGCCACAAAGTGATAGCGATGGAAATAAAGGCACGATACGTTTTCTAGGTGTCTCAATACGAGTCCGTAGATTCTTAACACAATTCTTTGAACGATGCGTCCTTTTAAGTTTTGGCGTTGGTTTTTTTGCGCGTGGTGACGTTACAATTATATTTAAACTTGGAAATGAATGCCAAACTCACCATAATCGAGCCAATACTGAACACCGTACTTGTCAAACACCCGCGAAATGTTCTTCACCATCATTCTTAACGTTTGACGTCTCTCCAGTGGCAAGTAACATTCCTCGTTATATCCCCCACTCACTGATGGTAAAATTACCAGATGGAGGCTCACCAAGACAAGTAATACTATAACTGATGATATTATCAGTAGCCTGTTCGCCAGCATTCTTCTTCTTCTTGATGAAAAATCACAGCAAAACATTTTGAACTTAGCCTCCTCAAAATCAGTAAAAGCCGTCTTTCAGCGGAGGATGTCATGCAAATCTAAAGAGAGCATAGACACGTGTTTGAGCATTCCATGCAAATGAACTGGAAGACAATTGCTTGGTTACAAATCAAAACGTGGAATAGAAACAAAAAAAGATACAAAATGAAATTGAAATCAAGTTTCGATGACTCTAATTTAGAGTCATGCTCTGATATCACTGAACCCGTCATTGTATTGATTACATGTCGAAAACAACGTGTACTTCCCAAAATTAATATGAACTAAAAAGTTGCCCCATAGAAAGTAAAATTTTTGCTACCTTGAATTATCGCAACGCTTCATTTGCTGCTTTCCCACGCAACGCTTTCATTTGCGGCTTTCCCACGGGGTAAAGTCTACCCGACTAAATAGGCATTGCCGCTACCTTTCTTCCAGAGGTCATTTGCACTTCCTGACAGCTGAAAATGTTGAAACTCATATGTGGTTACCTCAGTTGGGGGAATACAAAGCCCCTTCCAACTTTTGTTTATGCCAGTATCCGCAAAACTTTTCGAAGTGTTCAGGCAACAGGACAACGATCACTTCCGAAAAGGGCATGAGAAGTGATGTTTTTCTCAAATGGTTTCTCGCACGTCACACAAATGCTGCATGTATACGTGATGAAATAGGAATTTTCCTCATTGCTCGCATTCTCGTCGCCCTTACGAGACTCGAACAAAAATGTTACATAATATCCAGGCGTTTTATATTATAATTATACCAATCCACTGAATAAGGCTAGTGTACCCCATATAAAGCGGTTTACGTGCATTTAATGTTACCTTGGTGAAGGAGCTTTCAAATAAGAACAGCGAAGAGAATTTAATTGCTCTTGACATGGATCGTGACATTTCTCAGTGTGTAATTAAGAGTAGGAAATATTCATGAAGAAACAAATATTTGTTAAACGCCCACCTATCAATCATGTTATACAAAAGAAACAAGGCAACTCTTTTACAGTCCAACCCAGGCAGTGTGCGCGCTCTGATTGTGTTGCATCATGGTCGTAAAACGAAAAGTGAGTCATTTGCATCCTGTCGCTGTCGCGGTCGAGTGAACGTCTCTTGTGGCAGCGAGATAGCGTGAATAAACGTGGAATGTAATGGGGATTTACTGTCATTTGCCGTTCCTTCGAAAGTTAAAAAGCGTTATTCCTCCGTGACAAATTCGTTATCAGTTACGCTCACAGCTGATGGCTGTGTGAACAATATCAAATTCGCGAGTTATTTAATGGAAAATCGACCCTAGACATGCAAACGCATTATATTACAAAGAGATAGCGGCCCCCTTAATACACGAACTATGTAACTGCCACTGGCGACTAATACTAATTAATTCTAGCGCAATTTTTAACGCGGAACGAAACGACACGGTACGGTTAAAACTGCAAATAAAACAGCGAACGAAAACTATTACAATATAAACTAGACTAAATACACAAGGAAAGCTACAACGAAAACAACGAAGAAAACTACATGATACAAAACTTACATTTGTTGCGATGTTATAGATACTGCCTAGTGGCGAACAAACTGCACGAAGCGAAAAGAACAAATATACGAAACTACACTCGACGAAACTACACTGCAAAACTGCACCAAACTACGATGAACAATACGGTTAAATACATGATACGTTACTCAACATTACACAATGACACAAAGAAAGCGCACGCAAATTTTACTACAATTAGCACTCTTGCACGAGAACAATAAACAAACGAAAAAGAATATAAGGCGTTGCGATCTACTTTTCACGATCTGCTTTTCACGTCATACAGTTAAAGGCGCAAATACGGGATTCCTGAAAGGAGAAGGCATACGCCTCCTAAGACCAAATTCGTCACGCTCAACGTTTAATAAAAACGTACAGAGTTTCAAATATGCTTAAAGAATAAAGAATACCGAGAATAAGATTTTGAGAAACGTATCTCTGGAGTTATTTTATGCGGGAGAGACAGTATACCTGAAAACGAAAAAAATAGCGCGCACAAATGAAAATATTACCTCTGGTAACATAATCTAATCTGGCTTTGCCAATCCTCAAGAAGACCAAGAACATACAGATGGAGAAATGACAACTGAAAAACCTTACTATCACATCGTAAACAAAAGTCATTAAAAGATATCGTAATAACAGCTAAGCTTTCAGGTCAGAAGATTTAAAAGCGCAAGCGAATGGCCGGAGTCGCACAAGCCTACCAACCTTGATGCAATGCGGTCGTTTGTTTTTGTTTTGAATCGCCGCTTTTGTTTGAATAGCGCCTCTGATTGGTCGGTTATTTTTACCTTGTCACGTTGCTCAAAGTACTTTCTGCGTTTTCTCTGATGAATTTGAAGAGTTTGTCAAAATAATTCTGTTCAAAACAGTTCTATACGTTTTAATCGGGCATGGAATCAGATGAATCGATTGATTTCGTAGATTCTGAGGCAGTAAATGCTTATGGATCGGTTGTTGCTAAAGAGGAACACGAAAATCCTTGCGAGCATTTCGAAGAAGGTGAAAATGTTGATCCACCACGTTTTCATACATTCATCAATTTTTTTAAATTGAAGTTTGCCATCCTTGTTAAATAGGACCAAGGGTCAGTTAAAATTTCCTGCCCGTGGAGAGGAGCTTGCGCTCGAAAGAGTGGTCGAGGTTGTTGTCCAAGCAAAGCAGCAAATAAGAATGGTAACACAAACTGTCAGTGTCGCTGACGTTCCTGTAATGAAGTGACTAAACTTAAAGTAATTAAACGTCCGGCAGTCCAATATTTTTTCATATTTCTCCTCGAAATCCAAAAAATATTTATACGAAAATGTTCTATCCATATTTACAATCCTCAAGCGCTTCCAGGCAGCCTAAAATTTCGAACTTGATGTTTTTCGCTAACCCTGTATAAAGAGTACAAAGCCATCCAAACGCTTGACACTTAGAAACTTGTCAATATGATGACACGGTTGGACACGGTCCACAAATAACTCCATATTTCTCTGAAATTTACCAATTTTTCGTAGGAAAATATTCTACCTTCATTTACAATCCTCAAGCGCTTCTAGAAAGTGAAAAAATCCCAACGTTGTCCGTTTCGCTGACCTTGTACATACAGTGCGAAGAGATCCAAGCGTGACACTAAGAAAATTTTCACCGGACACTACCGGACACGGTCTTTGAATAACTAAACGTCCGGCAGTCTGATATTTTTCCATATTCCTCTTTGAAAAATACCAATTTCTATTGGAAATATTTTATCTTCATTTAGAATCCTCAAGCACTTCTAGAAAGTGAAAAAATTTGAACGTTGTCCTTTTCGGCGACTCTGTTCACAGAGTACGACGAGATCCAAGCGTGACACTTGAAAAAAATTTTCTGCGGATTCTTCCGAACAAAATTCAAAATACTGTAAGGAAGCTGTAAAATGACGAACGGCGAATTTATTTACCGTAAAACCGTTGACTATATGTCCAGGATGGCTTTTGAGGCGATTTTAGAAGGTTTTCAGTGATCTGGGAATTTCGTGTTACAGGAAATTGGGTCGCGGCGCGCGTTGCATCAAGGTTGGAAATGGGCCTTTAACCATCGACTACCTTCTAATCTCCGGTTATCCAGTGTGTCGCCGTGTGCATTGTAGACTGTTATTTATTGGTTAAGTGACACCTTTCGTTGCTCTAATTCATCTGTCCTGTCATTCAATGATCAAGATAGTAGATTTACCATGCAACACTCGCCATTCGTAAATTTCCTTTTTCTTATGAAAGTAGATTTACAACACAATTGAGTATACGATAACAACGCTGTGTAACGCATCAGTAGGCCTCTTCTTGGCCCTCATCGGTCTCAAGCACTATCGTTTAAAGTGCGAGAAACGCATGAACCGTTGGAGAGCGTTTGAGCACGTTTGGTCAGAGCTGTTGAAGAATGATCAAAGCGGCCATCCAAATCTCAGAAAGGCTCCAAACTACGACGTACATCAAATTTTGACCTTCTCGAAAGCCGGTCTCAAATTACTTATTGAAAAACAGTGATTGCGTTTGTCCTTGGGAACCACAGAATGTGCGACAAATACGTACAAAAAAAATACTTTTAAACATTCAGAATAAATCAGATTATATTTGCCTATGGTGAAAAGAAAAAGGAACGGCCTTACATTTACTTAATGTTCAGTCAAAATCTGCCAATTTCTGCTGCTTTCACCGCCATATTGAAAATGAATTGTGTTTTGCTTCCCTGGTTAATTAGGAAAAATTGCACGTGTGAGATAGTCAACAATGCGACGGCTTAATGGCATCTTGTTTGGACGCAAGATGACTTATTGCCTTTCTGAGGTCTTCCTATTTTCAGGAAACATTTCAGTCACGATCAGGGATGATAAACCTTCCAATTATATTTTACTAGTTGTGTTTTGATCTGGTAGTTAAATCGTTGTTCTTGGCCATGATTAACATGGTTAATGCGAATATTCCCTCCCCCTTCAAATGGAACGAACTACACGCACTAACACAAGAATGCAAATATTCTCGCGCCTCTGAAGAACCGATCGAGAGAGATTAATTAAATAGACACCCCTTCCTGAAACAAGCTACAAACTCAAAGGGTTTACCCTTCTGAAGCAATAAAAGGTCGGAGAAAGGAACTTTAGAACATATCTTGTGTCAATTTAGTACTGTGTTGCTTAATCCAAGTTTAGTTTAGAACTCGGTTCGATTAATACATTCAGATGTCTAACTTTAGTCTCTCTGAACATCAACAAATATTGGAAAAAACTTGCGGAATTTGTGGAGAGCGATTGAAGAAGGCAAAAGATAAGTATGAGAACAATTTTCTTTGAGCTGATAAGATGGAGATCACTTTCACAGCCTTTGGTGTCAAAGTTCGCAAAGATGACCTTGACATTTGCCCTCTCAAAGGTAAATGTACCATGAGTACAAGCAGAACTTACAACCACCACTGGTGCAACAACCTCAGTGTGGAGAACAACTGAGAATTGTACTTGTAGGCAAGTATCCATGTCCTTGGTGCAAGATAAATTATGAAGTAATGCACGTCTCTTGCCATAAACTTGGGCATGCAGAAAAACAAAGCCTTGAAAACATTCAAGAGGATTATGACAAGTTTGTCGCAGATGGCTCTGTTACAAGTTGACATAAGTTTTATCACAATGTGATTCACAAGAAACTGCTGGACATTGTGTTCAGTTCAAAATAAAGCAATTAAATGTATTTCACTTCGGCGCCCATGTTTCACCTCCGTGCTCCTTGAACTCAGCTTTAGAGTTAACTTTTAGCGTAAATAAATTATCGTTACAGATCCCGGTTGATGAGAGACCACATAAAATTATTAATTCCCAGGGTCAAATACTGTTTTAACGTAAAAATAATTTTTATCAAACAACTGGCTCTATGCATAATGATATATGGCGTTTTATGAAAATTTTGCATATTCTGTTCCCCATACATCCTCTGAGTAAAACACACAAATCATCGATAGTTCTTCGAGCGGTCTGAAAACCGCGTCAGAACGTCAATGGAGAGCTACTGAAGTCGGTTTCCTGGAAAAATAGGATCAAGGATCACTGGATCACCGTATCAAGGATCAAGGATCAAAGATCAGTTCAAAATGAATTAAATAAATTAAACAAATTAATAGGCGTGATTGATTGCTCATCTTCGTGACTCAGTCAAGATCTCCCGTATGCTAAAGCGAAAATAAGAGAAAATACTGAATACTGAAAAAGCCATACCACTTTGTGGAAGTGTCAATTTTCGCCTACGGACTTTTAGGACTG